TAGCATGAATTTCCACAGTCTAAAACGCGATCCACCAAGTCACCCAGCCACAGCAGTGTGAATTCCTCAGGGAGGTGCCAGTCTCATCCTCTTGTTCCTCCCACGCTCCTCCGGCGAGCTAAGAAAATGTTTATCTCCCTGAGCCTGGCCTTCCTAATTCCATTCCATCACAGCAGAGTACAACATTGGATGAAACCTAACAGTTAATAAAAGTCATTTCAATTCACGAATAACAGTATATTCCAGATCAAGGAAAGATCCGAGGTTGGTGATACCTGTTCACGTCATAAAACTCTACCTTCAAGAACAGGCTGGCAGCAGAGTCTCAAAATCTTGCTAGGCCCAGCAGGCAGACTCACCTGTACAGGGCGCAGATCCTTTGGCCTCTTTGCAATCTTTAATTTCCTTGGTTTTCCTGGTGGGGGGTGGGGGTAGAAGAACGTTGGTCTAGAAGCTGTCTTCTGTCTATGTATTAGTTGGAATTTAGTATTTTTATGTGGTATGCACTTAGATCTAACCACACTATACGACCTGTTTTCCTTCCACAACAACTGTGTGAGGCAGTTTATTAGGTGATGTGCTTGTTTAGAGCAGACTGGTTTATTTTTGGTGGCAGCCGCTCTTAAGAGTCTAAGTCAAACCATATCTCTTGCTTCTGAGAGGGCTGGGATGGCTGATTCTCTAGACAGCAGAAACCAAATTTGGAATGATCTTGATGAGTTGGAAGCCTGGCTGTAAACAACAGAATGACGGTTAACAGCGGCCAATGCAAAATTCTTAGGCAGAAGAAATCAAATGCCCAGATACGGGTTGAGTTAATTGGGCTCGGTTACCGTCCTGGCGAAAAGGATTTTCGAATGTGACTCAGTTCCCAGCCGAGGGAGCAATTTTAGCTTGCGTTAATAGAAATCGTAGGGAGTCAGAGTTGCCTACGGTCTGCGTGAACCCAGGCCCCGTCTCAAGGCCGAGGTCTAATTCTGGGCCCCGCGTTTTAAGGAGAATTCAGACAAACAAGATGCAGAGAAGGACCACCAGGATGAGAAGTCCTTCAGGGGGATGGGAAACCTTGAAAGTAGGGCTTGTTCTGCTTCGAGAGGGGGAATACGATTGTACTTTTTAACTGCCACCCTATGGAAAGTTAACACCAGTCTCTGCATGGCATTCCTCCATTGACGGGGGGTCAGAATGGATGACCTCTAGGAGTTTAGGCCTTTAACAGGCGAGCAAAGGCATTTTAAGTGGGGACAACTCCAGACTCCGGTGGGAGCATTCTCTCTCCCCCCCCCCCCCCCCCCCTGCCCTGGTGGTGGTGGCAGACACAAATTTCTTTTTTGTCCTCTTAGGAACCGCTGGCTTCTAAATTGCTGGTTGAGTCTTCAGCCATCCCACCCCTTCCCAGGAATGGCTCTGGCTTCTGGTGAGGGGGCGGGGGAGATCCTAACCCAAGCCAGGGCTTCAATTGCCAGCTTGCCTGCTCTCCTCTAGAAGCAATAAGGGAGGCCTTGGCGAGTGGGGCCATTCTGACGCACCATCCTCTGCCCCCGGTTTTTGAAAAGCCCTGCCAGATTCTGATGCTGGACGGCGTTAACGGTTTGCTAGGCCTCCGGGTTGGGTGGGGAAAATGCTGGTCTTTTTTCTGCCCTCCACTCACTGAACTCTTCTTGTGCAGAATTGCAGAAGGGCCCACTGGGTCCTTTTCTCAGCTGGGCTGGGCTGGAGGGCCCTGTCTGCTGAAGATATTCCCCATAAATTTTATTTATGATTTTTTTTTTTTGGTTAAAGACGACCCTGAGCTGGTGTGTGTCGACCTCCCCCCCCCTTGCAATATCCCTTATTGTTCATATGTGTTGTATATTGTTTATACATATACGCCTCTGTGCCGTATGAATTGACCTGGAATTCGTCCCACCTTCCTCCTCCACATCTGCCGCGGGCCCACCGTTTCCACGGGTGACGCTTGGCTGGCTGGCTGGCTTCCCCCTTCGCCGGTTTGAAAACGCGCCCCGATGGGCCGGCTGAAATGAATGAATGAATGACACCCTCCCCTCTCCGCCCCGTCGCTGCGCTTGGGGGCCCCCCGGCAGCAGAGTCGTCCCGGCAGCAGGAGAGCCAAGAACGTGGAAGACGACGTGGAAGGCCATCTCATCTATGCCATCGGCGACTGTCTCCAAGAAAGATGTACTGCGAAATCGTAACATAATTTAGTCTCTAGTTAAGCTCCCGTCGCAGTTACACGGTTGTTCTTAGCTTTCTCCCTTTCCCTGTTCATTCTCGTTTTCCTTTGCAGTGTTTTTTTTAAGACCAAAGCACATCCTTTTCTTCTTCTCCTTTTTTTCCCCTTTAATCATCCCCCCTCCCCATTTTGCCCCCTTCCCTTCTCCCATTTTATATCTTTCTGCATTGATATCCAAAGCGTCAGGGAAAGAGGCCGGTCCTATGAACCGGCCACGATAGCCTTTTTGTGGTAATGTTTTTTTGTTTGGCAACCAGATGCCGGCCCTCTTCTCACCTTCTCCCGTTCTTCCCGCCCCCAAATCTCTGTCTCCTTTTGCAGATGAGATCATTAGCACGCTTGGGGAAGGCACTTTTGGTCGCGTGGTGCAGTGCGTTGATCACCGCAGGTGAGCTGAAAACAACCAGCCTTGTGTTGGACCGCTTAAAAGTCAATTGTGGAAAAAGGGCGCAAATATGGAAACCAAGCAGGCTGCAGATTTTCCTCCTTGGCTGGAGGGCTCGGGGCCTGTGTGGCATTCTGGCCACCATAGATTCCTACTTAGAAAGTGTTTCTAGAGCAGTGTTTCTCAACTTTGGCAACTTTACAATGTCTGGACTTCAACTCCCAGAATTCCCCAGCCAGCTTGCTGGCTGGGGAATTCTGGGAGTTGGAGTCCAGAGATCGTAAAGTTGCCAAGGTTGAGAAACACTGCTCTAGAGTGAAACATTTCCTCCAGGGATGTGGAATCCTCAGTGAAATTGATTAATCATAAAGTCAGGTCAGAAGAAAGAAAGGATTGCTAATACATCTGGCCTCTGTCAGATATCTTACTCCCAGCCTCCTCTAGCCAGCCAGGGCCCTAAAACAATGAAGCAAACTGCAGTTTGGCATAACGTGCTAGTCAGTCTTGGCATTGAAGCAGTGGAGAAGAGATGCGCATTTAGAAGCAAGGCTGGGTCAGTCCCCACGCCCTCGGTTGCTTTCCCAGGGCCTCGATCCCGACCACCTTTTTTTCCCTCCGCCATTTCCCTCAGAGGCAGCACACGCGTGGCTCTCAAAATCATCAAGAACGTAGAAAAATATAAAGAAGCCGCTCGCTTGGAGATCAACGTGCTGGAGAAAATTAACGAGAAAGATCCGGACAACAAAAAGTGAGTTGGGTTCAAGCCTCCCGGGAGTGAGGGAGGCTGTGCGTTTTTGTACGCGGGCCCAAGGGGTGCCTGGCTTTCTGCGTTGACTTGCGTGGGACGATCGGTTCCTGTGCCAGGAGATTGGCTTGGCACAGGGGGCCCTGCCAGAGATTGTACAGTTTTACCGTGTGCGAGCCTTGCTGCTGGAAATCAAAAGGATGCGTCCTTCTAAGGAAAAACCTGCAGTTCTGTCCCTGTCTCTGACTCATTTAGTGTCACCCTTCTAATTACACAAGGTCCATCCTGGTCCCACTTGTCAGGTGCACAGATCCTCTGCAACTCGCCTTCCCACGTTCAACATCCTTATTGGCTGTAGCGATTGCTTCCTCCTCCCCCTGCCTTTGTTTTTAAAGAAAGGCAGCTTGAAAGACCATTAAAAGGACCTTTGAGCGGGGCCAGGAAGCAGAACAGAACACTTCATAATAATATTATCACCTTTACCCCATCGCCCAACCTAGCCTGCCTTCTTCTGGGGGCCAGTAAAACGCAGAGCGCTAATTCACCTCTTTTCCCTCCTTTCCCCGTCTTTGTCTTGCTTTCCTTTCAGCCTCTGCGTCCAGATGTACGACTGGTTTGACTACCACGGCCACATGTGCATTTCTTTCGAGCTGCTGGGCCTCAGCACATTTGATTTCCTGAAGGATAACAACTATTTGCCGTACCCGCTCCACCAGATAAGGCACATGGGCTACCAAGTGTGCCAGGCTGTCAGATGTGAGCGTCCGGGGTGGACGTAGGGTGGAGGGCTGAGGGAAGAGGGGGGGTTATTCTGAAAAGTAAGGATCCACAATTCCCTCGCTGTCAGGGACTCTGAGTCCCAGTGGCTGGATGTTCTCCCCACTCTGAGGACTAACAGTTCAGATTGCTACTTCCTGAGTGCAGGAGGGTGCATGAAAACTTGTGGGCACGGCCAACCGGCAGCATCAACTCTCACCAAATGCTTTGCTTCCTCCTTGGAGGATTACTCCTCCTGTCTTCGGCTCTTTCAAGAATTGTCAAGCTGCTCTTTCTCTCTCCCTTCCCTCTTACCCCCTTCCCCCCCGCACCAGTTCTGCACGAGAACAAGCTCACCCATACAGACCTCAAGCCAGAGAATATCCTCTTTGTCAATTCGGACTACGAGATGACCTACAACCTGGAAAAGGTGAGCTTGTGTCGTGGGGAACGCCACCCTTTCTGGGGTGACCCTACTCCCCTTCAGGCTGCTTTGGGTTGGGCCTCTAGGCCAGGGCCAAAAGATTGAACATGGGAGAATATTCCCTGTGCTGCTAACTACATTTCGCTCCCTCCGCCCCCGTCTTCAAGAAACGAGACGAGCGAAGCGTCAAGAACACAGCCATTCGAGTGGTGGATTTTGGCAGTGCCACCTTTGACCACGAGCATCACAGCACCATTGTCTCCACGCGGCACTATCGGGCACCCGAGGTCATTCTAGGTCAGTACCTTGGCACCCTCGGGGGTGGGCTGTGAATACTGCAAAAGCAGACCCTGAAACTCCTTTTTTGTTGCAACAGAACTTGGCTGGACTCAACCGTGCGATGTCTGGAGTATTGGCTGTATCATCTTTGAGTACTATATGGGCTTCACATTGTTCCAGGTGAGTCTGACAGGCAGGAAACCATCAGTGATGGCAGGAGCCCTAACAGGCATGCAGTTCCAGGCCTTCAGTCAGTCCTTTTTTCTAAACAAAGCTTTTTTTCTTTTTCTTTTTCTTGTAGACCCATGATAATCGCGAACATCTGGCCATGATGGAGCGCATCTTAGGCCCCATCCCATCACGGATGATCCGAAAAACAAGGTGGAGTGTTTGGGGCAGTGGAAGATGGGGTATGGTCCTCCGGGAAGGTTGAGAAGGCTTGTAACCTTCAAAGTGGCTTCATTCCCACTGTGGATTAGGAACGGAAATTGTTTATCTCGGACAACCGACTGGAAATTGCGATTACAGAAGAGGGATCTGTCAGCCTGTCGCAGGGGAAAAGGAGTGGTTAAGTGCTGCTATGCAGACTGAGAATTTCTAAAAAAGTTTTCCACCTATTTATCCTCATCTTGCAGAAACTCAGCCTTGTTCAACCCGCCTGCCTTTTGTCTCCCTGCCGAGGAGACCTGAGAATTATCATTGCGGGTCACTGGGCAAGTTTCAGGGTATGGCAGGTCCTTGAAACGAAGTCTCTGTGGTTTTAAGCAGATACCTCGACATGTCAGGGCATTCATTCCCCCTGGGAGTTCAGGGTTTTATCCCTGGGCAACTTCGAAATGGGTGGACTTCCTATTCAATATGGCCAAATTGGGAAACTCTGGAGGGACCTAGTTGGGGCCAGTATAAAGGCCACATTGGAGTATTCGCTACCCCAGCCTGAATATAATCTACAAGGAACAAAAACTTTAGGGAGTGTTTCATGGGGTCATGGAATGCATTGAACGATAATTGCTGATAGAAATGAGCTTTCTGGTTGTGTTGTGAAAGGATAGCTTAAGTTTTCATCTATTAATCTGGTGATCGGCCTGTGTCTTCAGCATGACATGTATTTGTAGGCATGTTTATGTTTGGAAAATAAAAAAGAACAGCGCCCCCCGGCCCTTTGCACCGCTGATTATTCCTTGTAATGTTTTTGTTCTGGATAGGAAGCAGAAATATTTCTACCACGGCCGTTTGGACTGGGATGAAAACACCTCTGCGGGGCGCTACGTGCGGGAGAACTGCAAGCCGCTGCGGGTAAGGCGGGGCCTGGCTTCTGCCTTGCCGGGGGGGGGGTCTGGATTGCCTTTAAATTTGGGAGAAGAGATGGATCAGGTTGTGGGCGGATGGAAGAGCAGCGTTCTTTACCCCGAGCTATAAAATCATAAAGGGAGGGACTTTAGGATCTCTAGCCCAGCCCCATGCAGGAATGCACCATAACACTGTTTCTCAACCTCGGCAATTTTAAGCTGTGTGGACTTCAACTCCCAGAATTCCCTAGCCAGCACGTGGACTACAACTCCCAGAATTCCCT